AGGTAATTACAATGCGCACCCGTTTCAGAACCTGTGCCCTACAGGATTAAGTAAAATTCCCCTTTGGGCCTTGTTATGGTAGACTCTCAAGAAAAGCCCTTTTATGGGACCTGAGACTATCTATACTATATAATTTTCCTACTCATGGGAAGCAAATAGCAACAAGAGATGGGGATTACGGGGAATTGTGCTTAAACAAGAATCTGTGTGATTTAACAAGCATCTAGAAGATGAGAGGCATACCTACTTTAAATTACTTGCCAGAAGCCTTTCTTTGTTTAGAAATCATGATTGCTTCTGATTTTAGGAAGGAAGGGAGGACAAAAGACGTGGCTCAGATGAGGCAAATGTGCTGTAATCTTTTGTTACCTCTGGTTCAAATGTTCTGCCAAGGAAAGTGATAAATGGCATCCCATTCAAAGACTTCTTGAGTTTCCAGCCTGTTTCCCTTCACATTTTTTCTATGCATAGAAACAGCTTTACAGGTAGCATATTAGAGAGCATAGTTTGCAGTGAGGAATTCAAGTTTGTTTTGGGGAGTCTTTTGACTAAAGAATGGGATCTACATTTCTCCACTTCTGGGAATCTTGTTGGAAATTTGACCTCAAGTAGCTGAGACATACTTAAGTCAACTCCAGCTGCTTAAGTCTGAATTGGTGCCTCAGAATTCCAACACATACAGGCTTATTTCCTTAGAGTAGGCAGTATTATTTCTCTCTTTCCAAAATTATCTTCATTTAGATTGACAATAAGGGAGACCCCCTCTGGGACATCAAGAAATTCAAACTTCAGTAATGCTTTGCTATGGTAAATTCTGTGCAATTCTTATATAATCTATTCCAATGAAATTTTATTCTCCAAACTAATCAGAAGCCTCTTTTTACTAATTGCAAAAATCATAGTCAATACATATGAAGAGAACTTTTCTCTCTCTTATGGTGTACAAATCCCTATGGTTCTTTGTGATACCTAGACCCTTTTCAAGTGTTAGATGTTCAGCCTGAAACAGATGCATTGGCAGTTTTGATACTACATATGACCTCTGCTGCTGGGACCTGTTAACTTTTTCATTTCTCTGAGTGTGTCCTACTATCCTCAGTACTTAAGTGACATATTAAAACCAAAACTCAAAAATCCGCTTTCCAATTTCTGATCCTTACTTCCCTGGAATGCCCTCTGCATTTTTAGTTATAGGGGGACTATACCAGAAGCTTTACTTTTTGCACAATAGCTGTCTCACAGAAGGAGCCAGGTTCTAAGAAGTCTGCCCTAGAAGATGTAACATGGATGGAACTTTGGATCAGTTCCCAGAAGTCAGACTATGAACCTCTTTGCTCCTTAAAGTTAAAAAAAAAAAAAAAAAAAAAAAGTCTCTGGATGCTAGTTTGACCACCAACTTCCAAAGTCCTTACTCTGCTGCTACACTCTTATAAGCTCAAAAACTTTGAACAGGTCTGGCTGTGGGTCCTAGAAAGGCAGTTTAATTGATGTCACAGTAGTGCCATACTAACTTTAGTGGCCTATGCAAGGTTAATCTCTACTTCCCCAGACCATGTATCCAACGATTTAGATTCGTGATGTAAATACTCCCCTGCTTATTTCTGAGGCGGAAATTTAGTATAGATTTAGTCTTGAACTGTAGCACAAAGGTGCTAGATGAAAAATCAGTGACATCTGATTTCATTTGGGTTCTCCAGGCCTGTAGTCTCATTTGTTGCCTCTATATGGCATCATATTAATCCAGGCATAAAAATCAGCAATTCTTTGATAGTCTGTATAACATTGCCCCCATCAAAATACCATACGTTTGGTAATTTTGCTGAAGATTTGACAAGTACTGGGGACGGGGCATATCAAGCACTGCACATCATTCCCCCAACATTTCATTGGTTTTCTGTCCCAACCTTAGCCTCTCTTCTCAAATAGTAAACAACTTTCTTTTCTTGTCTCAAGTTACTTTTATCCCCTTTTCTGAAGTTTTGGGGTCAAGAGACATCTATGCTTCTGAGAGTGACTTAGCACAAGTGAGACATATTCCTAACAAAAACAGATCTTTTGCTGACAAAAATTCTCATGTGATTTTCTTAAGAGAAGAAAAATGTCCTCAAGTGCCAATTATTGGCCCCATTCACTATGCCAGATGTTATATTCCACACTTTATGAACATTATTCCACTTAATCCTTGTAATAGTCCTTTGCAGGAGGCAGTGTTTTTCCATTTTCAGTAAAACTCAGCATCAGAGAAGTTAAAAGGATATAGGTGGTAAATGGTGGAAATGAGGTTTGAATCTAATATTGACACCACAGCTTGTGTTCTTAATCACTACACTACGCATCAACTACTTTTCTGGCACATGCTGCTGGGGATATGCCAGATACTCTTTTGCATCTTGTGCAATACCACAGAGAAATGCGAAAGAAAGAGATCTCAATAGGGCAAAGGGCTCAGTACTCTCAAAAGCAGAAACAGCCCGGAGGGAGGCCTTGAGCCTACAATTCTAGCACTTTGGAAGACTAGGGTGGGAGGATCCCCTAAGCCCAGTTCAAGGTTACAGTGAGCTATGTCTGCACCACTGCACTAACCCAGGTGACAGAGCAAGACTCTCTCAAAAAGAAAAAAAAGTCACATATATACATAGAATATGCAATTAAAATCTATTTTATAAACTATCTGTTACTATGAAATCTGTGCCAGTGTGAACTTTCTCCAAGTTTTAATTTATGGTTGTGAATTTAGTCTTAGGTCTAGCAAATAACACAACCTAAGAATTATGCCGTACTTTGAGGAAGATATTCTTTTGGTTTTTGTTAAGGATAGAGTGAACCATAAGAGATTATCTCAGACCACATGCCTTATAAGGCATGTGCTCTCGAAAAGTCGTTACATAGATACGAAAAGTATACTAAGTGTTAAATGACCAGCTAAATCAGGGCCCGAAGGCTGTGCTGGTTAGACAGGTCTGCAAGGAAATGGTGAAATTTCAGTCCAGTTTTGAAGAACAGGATTTAAAGGGTTGTAGAGAAAGCTGGAAATACATTCCAAGTGGGAAGATCATTGGGAAATATACTGTCTTATCATGACAGGCTTCTCCTGAAAACCACGCAGCCCCGCCCACCAGCTCCTAGCGCTGAACTATCGCAACCACCTGGCACTCCCAGGTGAGGAAGCCCCTCTTCACCGCAACCACGGTTTCGGACTCCGCGCGCGAGAAACGCACAGACAGCGCCTGCCTCGCCAAGCTTCCGCTTCCGGCCCTTCAGGCTCGCTCTCTGTGGAGACTCGGCTTTGGGAGGGAGAAAGAGGTGGGACCTCGCGCGAGCCGCGCAGGCGCACGGTGGGCAGCTGCAATGGCGACGCCGTGTGCCCTTAACAGGTATCTGCTGCTCATGGCGCAGGAACACCTGGAGTTCCGCCTGCCGGTGAGTCCCGAGCGCCCTCCGCAACTTCCGACTGGAGGGGACGCTGGAGTGGAGTGGATGTGTGGGTGGAGGTGATCTGCATAGCTGCAGGGCGTCGGGATTCCGGGGTCTGCGCTGGTCAGCGCGGGTCACGCGTCCCCGGTCCTCGGGCGGGGTGAGTTTGGCGGAGGGAGTGTGTGACAGAAGTCCGAGACCAAACCCCTCGGCTTCCTTAAATGTTTTCATTCATTCGTTTGCCCGTGTGCCAAGTACTGGAGTTAGGCAGGTGAATATGACCGGTCCTCTCACTCCCGCAGCTCTTCGTCTAGCGGAGGATAGAGACAGCTAACAAATGCTCAGGCTGGTGTTTTAAGTATCATAATCTGTGGATCAATTCAGTGGAGGGGTTGGTGGTGGGGATTAGATGATGGAGAAATTGAGAAGAGTGTTTTATTCAAGAAACGTTTCCACGGTGCACGTAGTTGAAGATGCGTACGCTGGGCTTATAAAGATGACGTAAACAACGTCTGCCCTCTAGGAGCTTACTGCTTAGACTAAGGGTTGAGCACTTCATCTTAGAAGGACAAAATAGCGTTGATAAGAATTAGAATTACAATTATTATTATTACTGGCTCATTAGATATGTGGCAGAGAGTGGTAAGAGGACAGGGGAAGTAAACAGGGGCCAGAAAATGAAAGCCTTGAATACCCTGGAACTTTCGAAAGGGGATTTATTGAAGAGTTTTAAGTAAAAAAGTTACCAAAAAATTAAATCAGTTTGACAACACTATGGAGGATGGATTTGAAAAGACTAAGCCTTGAGCCAGAGACTAGTTAAGAGTCTGGGGCCGGGAGCGGTGGCTCACGCCTATAATCCCGGCACTTTGGGAGGCCGAGGTGGGTGGATCACGAGGTCAAGAGATCGAGACCATCCTGGTCAACATCGGGAAATCCCGTCTCTACTAAAAATTCAAAAATTAGCTGGGCATGGTGGCGCACACCTGTAGTCCCAGCTACTCGGGAGGCTGAGGCAGGAGAATTGCTTGAACCTAGGAGGCAGAGATTGCAGTGAGCCGAGATCGAGCCATTGCACTCCAGCCTGAGTAACAAGAGCGAAACTCCATCTCAAAAAAAACTCTGTTGGCATAGTCTTGTTAATAGATTAAGAAGGTCTGACCTAGATTAAGGGGTAAGAGGATGGGATAGACTGGGAGAATATTTAAGCCGTACAGTCATTAGGGCTGAATTGACTGAATATGTGAGAAAGGGGCACCAGTCAGGTATGACTCCTGGGTGGATATAGGTAGGAGTGTCTCCATTTAAAATAGAGAACATAGGCAGATGTAAGATTTAACTTTTGTTTACACTGAATTTGATGTGCTCGTGTAACATCAACCTCAGATGACCAAGAAGCAGTGGATATATGAATATGCATAGAGTATGGCAGAGTGATCTGGACTAGTGAGAAATATTTGGGAGTCTTCTGCATGTGAAAATTAGGAGAGGGGATGAAATTAAGGGTAAGGTAAAAAGAGTGGTGGGTCAAGTTTAGGTGCTTGGAAGCATTGATATTAAAGGAAAGTCGGAGGAGGCCATGAAGAAGATGGGCAAGTACCAGAAGGGTGTGAGACCACAGAAATCAGAAGGGTAAAATTTTAGGAAGCAGGGACAAATGGATAATGTCGAATGCAGTTGTTTTTTAGTTAGAAAAGAATGAAAAAATGTTCATTGATAGTCTCAATTAGAAGGTAATTAATTGGTTAATTTCGCTAAAGCTGGTATGTTAAGTTTTAGTGGGAGAAGCTGGATGGCTTGGTTTAGTGGTCACTGGAAAATGAGGAAGGGGAGATAGGATAGACTGAGTGCCCTTAGCTAGAGCATAAGGGAAAGTAAGAAATGGGTTAACAGTTTGAAGGGGATCTATGGTCAAAGGAGAATTCTCCCCATGAAGAGAATGAGTTTGAGCAGAGATTGAGCATGAGTATATTGGTAGGCTGACGGCAAGAGAGGGATAAAAGGGCATCTCTTTTCAGTAAGAGGGGAAATGGGACAAAGAAAGTTAGGGTGGGTGTAGAGTAGTTACCTGAGGGCCTGTTTTCTAGATAATGAATGAGTGGAAGTTATTTCTTGAGAGATGATGGGCCAGCAGTTGAATGGGGAAATTGAGACAAATAGTAAAACTTGAAATAGTCATTGAGAGCAAAGAGGAGATTTGACAAGGAGGAAAATGAGTGAAGAACATAGGTATTAGAGCAATGCTGAAAACCAGCTGAAGGTGAAGTTCTCAGATGTGTAATCATGCTAAGATTCTGTGATTTTCTTCAGTTGTGTTGAACTCATTGGTCTTAGGAGTCATGAAGGAAGATTGTGACATTGATTCAGTATTAATGTTCTGAGTTTCATGGAGGAAGTAATTTTTAATTAAGTCTTAATTGACAAAGGATATGTTCTGTTGGTGAAGAGGATTGTAAAGACCACTTCTGTGAGAAACCGAAACAGACTTAAAGGCACAGAGGTGTGATTGGTTATGAGGTTTGGGGAGGGAGGTTGAAGTAGTGGGCATTGAGGCCAGAGAGGTGGTAAGAATTTGTGTTTTAGAAAGATAATTCTGAAGTACCAGAGAAAAGATCCCACTTAGAGAATACTGGAGTAGAACTAGAGAGGCTCAGGAGTGTGACTGCCTAAAGTAAGGCAGTGCAGTGACAATGGAGTGGTTGGACTGTGGACTCCAAAATAACAACCCAACTACGTGGTGATTTCTACTTTTTCTTTCCATTGTAAATTCTTCTTAGTGCATTACCCTTGTGCCAGTTTATTCTTCCAAAAACTCTGTTCTGTTTTACATTCTTGTTCTTCTTAAGATGACAATCTTTAGTCAGGCATTCCAGGTCTAACACTGCATGGTTCTCTCCTTTGTGCTCTCGCTTCCCACCTAGTCCTTAGTGCTGCCAAAACTGACTCATTATTCCCTGAATTCCTGCTTTCACTTTTGCTCTCTGTGCTCCCTTTAGTCTGGTTTGGGTGTTTCCCATTCTTTGATCTATTGTTTCTTATGTAGTAAGTATTCCTTTAGAGTTAAGCACATATTTATTTATTTTAGCTTTATATGTTTTACGTGATTCTTTTTCAGATCCGCAATTTCCTTTTTTGTAGTTTTTCCTCCCCTGCCAAAATTCTAATTTTTTCTTTAATCCCCTTCAATATGGAAAGTGTAATTATGTTAAAGTATCTGATAAAAGGGATCCTTTGGGTCTGTTTCTGTTGTTTATTTTGGTTCTCTTTCATATGTTGCTGGGCTATTTTTAAAATATATGCCAGTTGTTGTATTTGAAAATTTATTTAAAAAAATAATTGGAGGTCTGGATTGATGTACATCCTCTTGAAGAAGATAGGAACTCATAGGAGCATGAGGAGTCTAGGATTGGTTTAATTCATTCTCACGCGCTAAGCTCTGTTTGTATTCTGAGTCCCACATACTCACCAAGTGTAGCTTTTTGACATCCTAATGTAAACTAGGTGGTTCAGCAAGTATCCTTTTCTCCCCCTGGGTGGCCCTTTTTTCTTTTTCCCCTATCCATCCTGCAAGTGCCTGTTTTTGGATTGGTAAATGTCTCAGGGAAAAAGTGGCTCCACCTGGGAATTTTTGCCCTCTCCTGGTTGTTGGTTTGGTAATTTTTGTTATCTTTCTATGCCTTCAGTTACATGGCCAGCTTTTATAGTTCTTTGTAGCAAGAGGCTTTTACCTCTTTTGCCATCCCTGCAAGTTGAATTCTTCTGTCATTGAGTTAGATTTTTTTTCAGGGATTAAGTCAGTTTCCATGAAACCTTACTTCTCAAACTGAAGTAATCTTTTACTCTCTTGCACTCTAATATTTTTTGCTTTTACTTCTTTAACAACATGTTAAAACAACAATGTACTGTTTTACACTGTACGTTTCATTTGTGAGGTTATCTTGTTGGTTCTGCTAGACCTTAATTTCTCTAAGGTAAATGTGTATGTATTTTTACATAACTCTGTGACTTGCACATATTAGTTGCTTAAAAAAAAATTTTTTTTTTTTTTTTTTTTTTTTTTTGAGACAGTTCTCTCTCTGTTTTCCAGGCTAGAGTGCAATGGCATGACGATCACTGCAGCCTCAAACTCCCAAGTTCCAGCCATCCTCCCACCTTAGCTTCCTGAGTAACTGGGACCACAGGTGCACCACTATGCCTGGCTAATTTTTCAATTTTTTTGTAGTGACTGGGTGTGGATCAGAGACTGAGGGTGGATGCGGGCGGGGCATCTCACCATGTTGCTGGGGCTGGTCTTGGACTCCGGTCTCAAGTTTCCTCTTCGCCTCGACCTCCCAAAGTGCTAGGATTGCAGGTGGGAGCCACCATACCTTGCAGCTTAAAATATTAAAATCAGTGTTATAGGATCCCTTCTGGGGAAGGCAATGCAAAGGAGAGTCCACGTTTTTGGGTCCATCTACTGCATTAGAACTGATAAGTAAGGAAGCTCTAATGAATGGCTGCCTTTATGAATTAAAATGAGAGATTAGGAATATAAGTGTGGTCCAGTTTTACCTCTGATAGAGTTAATCAGGGCCAATTATAGTTGGCAGCGCCTTAATGTAGTACTTACTGTATTAAGTAATGTTTACTAAAGGTCAAACACCTAGGTTGTATTGCTTGTTCTGAAGCAACCTTTTAAATGAATGAAAAAGCAAGTAGCTGAAATAATAGAAAAGCTCATGGAATTAATGCATCACACCTGCCCCAGATCATGCCACATTTCTGTATCTGATGTTCAATGTAAATTCTTTTTTATTCCTAATGTAGAAAGAGTCTCAACTGGAAAGTTGAATTTGCCATAAGATTAATGAACATTTTGTGTTTTGGTTTTTCCAAGTAGGCTGATGAAGTACTTAAACATGTTTTGCTTTTCAATTTGAAACTTGCTTATCATTTATTCTCAGTTTTAGGTGGCTGCTTAAGTTTTGGGTAGTAGAGATAATGCTATGCCATAACACTTTAATCTTTCACTTTTTTCCCCTGCCTAACTCTTAGGATCTTTGTGTTTTAACCTATTGCAAATTTTTAACAATATATCTAGGAGCAGCAAACTTTGGTGTTTTAACTTGGTTGTAGTTGGATATTTTAAATGTAAAGCTGACTTTGCAATATGCTTTAATATAGAACAAACCACCACCATGCAGGATCAAGTAACTTAACCTATAACTTAATTTTTTTCTTTTAAGTGTTATAACTCTGTCAGTCTTTGTTGACTTCTTGATTCCTTAATAACTGCCTAGGTTCTGTGCTTCTGTCTTTAAAGTTCACCTAACCTGATGAGGTAGCTGTGATTCCTGTTTTACATTTGAGGGAACGAAAAGTTGGAGGATTTAAGATTCTTGTATAAAGCCATATCGCTAGTATTTGGAAGATCTGAAAATCAGATTATGATCTATTTGACTTCTAAGTCTCATGATGTCTTGTATTTAGATTTGTGTTTTCCATGTTGCAAAATAACCTTTGGGCTGCCTTCACTGATTTGGCAGTAGTCTGTGATAGTTCTTGGTTGATCCATCTGATTGGACTGAACTCAGCCCCTTCTAACACTGAATTAAAAACAATGATTTGTTGCATAGACAAAGAAAAATAGAAATGGCACTAGCAGCTTGAACTTCTCATTCATATTGATCTTGGAGTGGGAGACTTGCTGGTTTGGGTATATTGTCCTTTTTGATGGCTGTACGTTATAGTGGGCCTGGTGTTAAAGGCTCTTCCTTCTGGTTGGGAGGAAAGGGGATAGTAAGCAGCTAGCAGTAGGACACTTAACTCTCATTAGGTTACGTTCTCCATAAGATCCATACAGAGGAATGTGATTCTACCTGTTTTATGAGATTTAAGGAGACAACTTGTTAGTCATACAAATTGTAAAGTTTGTGTAATTATTTGGGTTTATCAGTACAAAGTGATTGCTTCAAATAATATAAACACTATCTGGACAGATTTCAACTTCACATGCGTTATGCTTTAAAAGTATCTATTATGTTAGTTCTCTTTCTAGTTCTGTAATTTTATGCAGAAAGGCGGAGGTTAACTTGGTGTATTTGTGGTTAATGAATACACAGTGATATGCCCTGGCTGATTATTTTTAATTTCCAAACATCTTCAAATGATTTGTTTAATTTTCATTTTAATTTTGTTCATCAAGTGTCAGACTTACTAAGCTGCACTTTGCGTAATCTGTTTTTTTCCTTTTCAAAATCAGGGCATCTTCTAATCAAGTGTTTGGTAACCCTTCTATTTTCTAAAATCTCTCAGAAATTACTTATGGTTTTTACTGTTAGATTTTTTTCTGAATCCTAAATTGTAACTATCTGATGTTGAAGCTTAAATGCCTCAGTTAGATCATCAACCTATGCCTTTTTTTTTTTTTTAGTCATGTAATTACTGTCTCCCTTAATAGATTTTTAGTTCCTTTTGTTAAAATGTATTTTCTCTGTAATATTTTCAATATAGGAAATAAAGTCTTTGCTTTCACTTTTTGGAGGTCAGTTCACCAGCACTCAAGAAACTTATGGAAAGGTAAGTTAAATTTTCATTAGACCATGTAGAGTATACTTAGAAATAGAGCTTGGGTTTGAAGAGAAGAAGTGCATATGTTAAATTTATATTTGTGTAGTTACTTGTATTTGTTTCTAGAGGCAATGGAATAAACAGGATATTTTGGGAAAAATTGTGGTTTTGTTAAACAATTTAGATTTATTTCTAGTTTCTTATTTGTTTTAAATTTTCAATCAACAGTTGGTCATAATTTGTATATGTCTTTTCACTTAAAAAAGGCCTGTCCTCCATTGGTGAATTATGTTTAGAATTAGAATTTAGTAGAATTTTGAACTCATATTGAGAATCATTTTAAAATTTGAAATTATGCATTATGTAAGACTGTGAATTTATGAGCTTTGTATTTTGCATAAAACTGTAGTTTATCAGTGCATTACAGAAGTTTGGAAAACAGAAAAAAAAAAAATAATTTGCAGTCCTTCCTTGACATGACTTAAATTTTGGATGCTGCCTTCCAGTCTTTTTTTCATGTACTTTTTCCCCCCTATTGTAATTCTTCTGCAGCTTGTGTTTCTCACCTGATAGTGTCAGTTTACGCATAAGTTGTTACTTGGCCTTTATCTCTAACATAGCTACATAATATTTTTCGTTGATTAGCTCTACCATAATTAATTTAACCATTTCATTTTATTCAGGTTGCTTTAAAAATTTTCCCAATAAAAGTAATACTAAGTGATAATATTTTTTCCTGTTTGGATTATTTTGAATTTTTCTGTTGGGGAGGGTAAATATTATAAGAAAAAAGACAGGGTATATACCCAAAGTAATGTAAGTTGTTCTGTTATAACGATTCATGCACGCATATGTTCATTGCAGCACTATTCACGATAGCATAGCATGGAATCATCCTAAATGCTCATCACTGATAGACTAGATAAAGAAAATGTGGCCGGGCGCGGTGGCTCAAGCCTGTAATCCCAGCACTTTGGGAGGCCGAGGCGGGTGGATCACGAGGCCAAGAGATCGAGACCATCCTGGTCAACATGGTAAAACCCCGTCTCTACTAAAAATACAAAAAATTAGCTGGGCATGGTGGCACGTGCCTGTAATCCCAGCTACTCAGGAGGCTGAGGCAGGAGAATTGCCTGAACCCAGGAGGCGAAGGTTGCGGTGAGCCGAGATCGCGCCATTGCACTCAAGCCTGGGTAACATGAGTGAAACTCCGTCTCAAAAAAAAAAAAAAAGAAAAAAAGAAAATGTACATATACATCATGGAAGCCACAAAAAGAAATGCATACTGTACAACCATAACAAGATCATGTTGCAGGGACATGAATAGAGTTGGAAGCCATTATCCTCAGCAAACTAATGCAGGAACAGAAAACCAAACACCACATGTTCTCACTTATAAGTGGGAGCTGAATGATAAGAACATATGGGCACGTCCAAGGGAAGCCACACACACTGGAGCCTGTTGAGGGTGTTGGGACGAGGGGAGGGAGAGCATCAGGAAGAATAGCTAATGGATGCTGGGCTTAATACCTAGGTGATGGGATGATCTATGTAGCAAACCACCATGGGACACATTTACCATGTAACAAACCTGCACATCCTACACATGTACCCCTGAACGTAAAAGTTGAAAAAAAAAGACTGGGTGTGACAGGAAGGATTTCTTGCAAAAGATGAAAGAGTTTAAGTTGAAAGTCCTGTGGTGTTGGACTTTTATTCCTAAAGGACTTTCACTTACGGGAGGAGGAAAGGAAGGAAAGTTCGGATGTAATTGGCTAAAGGTGATGAAATGAGGTCAGGATCCTTTCGGATTTTTGCTGTGTTCTGGCAAGAGGTTATCTGGGTGCAGCTTACCAGTGTCTGTAATCTTGGGTGTTGGGATAGAGAATTGGGAAAACACCCTGGATGCACTGGGAACTTTTTTCCCCTAGACAAAATATAAAGTAAAAGTTAATGAGAATTTAATAATGTAAGATTTTCCATCATAGTTGTTTCAAAGGACTCCTCCTTCACCCCTCAGATGGCCACAACTATTTAGAAAAAGGTCTAATTTAGCAACTAAGAAATGCGTGACTTAGAAATTAAAAATAAAATAGCTGCATTTTGAGGAATGATTAGCCATGATGAATTTCAAGATTGTACTTTAGTATATGATATGTCTTAATTCCTCTAGTAAAGCTACATAAAAGGGCAAATACAAAATTAATCTTTAATTTGCAGATATATTCATTTATAGGGTCATTATAAAAACATTTTTACCATATTATTCTAATGTAAATTTTTACTATTGGAATGGTTTTTGTTTTGGTTGCAGTCAGATCAGTATTCTTACATGAAAGTAGCAAATAGGCACTTCTCCTTACTGACTTCTTGAATAAAAGCGTATGAGGCCATGGAGCCACTTACAATTAAGCTGCATATTGTTATTTCTTTCAGTCACCATTTTGGATTCTTAGCATTCCCTCTGAAGATATTGCAAGAAATTTAATGAAACGGACAGTTTGTGCCAAGTAAGAGAAACTTATGTTGTCCTGCATGAGTATACTAGTACTTTCGTTAACTGTTCTGTCCTCCTTTTTGCTACATTGGCATGTAGTGTGGAGGCTTAGTTTAGCTTGCAGTTACATGCAACCGCCACTGGGTGGCGGTGGGGGACCAGAGGAGATTTACCTGCTGAAACCAAGGAGGAAAGAATCTCTGAGGGAACTGTAGACACATTTGTTTTAGAATAATTTTTTTGACCTTCCATATTATGTGGGAGTATAGTATGAGATATAAACATTATGTTCTTACGTAGGATAAATGCCACATATAATTATAACCAAAGTGCTGAAAATCCAAAAATGCCTTTCTCTTAGATGGTTTTTAATTGGTTGAGCAGATTAGTGAAGTGTCAGGTAACAAAAAGTGAGGACCGCCGTAAAATATGTTATACCATTTCAGTTGGTAGAGAAAAGAATTGATAGAATATCACATCTTGGTATGAGTTAATGTGATGATGCCGTTCATTGTTTATCCTCAGTGTTTCTAGATTTTATCATTGGCATCTGCCCTTTTATTCCATTTCTTTTTTTTTAGATATATTATTGGAAAATTTTCTATCATCAGATTTGAAAATTAAACTGTATTTTTAATATCTTAAAGATCGAACAGCTCGTGTTATCTTTAAGCTGCTTTTTCTTCCTGAACATTTTGGCAGATTGCTGAAAGCTTTCTTTTCCTTAGAGATTATATTTGCTAATGCAATGCAAATAAGAACTTACATATATCTAGTTTTATTTACATGGTTAGCAATGTTTTATATAGTCATATGTAATTGCTGTATTATGGAATTGAATACAACCCAATGTTTAGTTAACTTCATCCTATTGAGAACTACCTGAAGCCTTTAATCTTTTACAGTGACGCTTGTTAACAGGTCTTATGAAATAAAAATGACTAGAAAGCAGAAACATAACTTTTAAAAAACTCTTTGAATAATTGCTTGTTAGGTTTAAAATAGCCACTGGAATACTAAGAACTTGTATGCATCTTTCAAAGCTCTTCTAATTGATATATTTGATTAATGGTACAGTTAACAATTGTATAATATATAATTTTTAATTGCTTTTTACTATGTATATTTTGTGTAGCTGAGGTATACTTTAAATGATAGCTAAGTGAGATTAGTATGATTGTAGAAGCATTTTCTCTGTAAATTCAATAGAAAAGGAAGAATTCATTTGCAAAGGATAAAATTCACAATTTAATTGTACCAGAACAAAGATAGACTTTTATAAAAGCATAGATTCAAAATCAACTTAAATTCAGATTTTTCTGTGGTAGAAGGGCATTGAAAGTTAATTTATTTTTAACATGAAATATTTTGAGCATGTCACAAAAAGAGTGAAAAACGTAACAATATACCTTATTAGATCTCAACATTTTGGGTAACTTAGTTACTAAAGTCGTGTGTGTGTGTGTGTGTGTGTGTGTGTGTGTGTGTCCCTGCGTGTTCATGTGCATGCATGATAGAGTCTTACTCTTGCCCAGGCTGGAGTGCAGTGACATGATCATGGCTCCTTTTAGTCTTAAATCCAGGGCTCAGCCTCCCAAGTAGCTGGGACTACAGGTATGTGCCACCGTGCCTGGCCAATGTTTTGCCTTTTTTGTAGAGACAAGGTTTTGCTATGTTTCCCAGGCTGGTCTTGAACTCCTGGACTCAAGTGATCCACCTCAGCCACCCAAAGTGCTGGAATTACAGGCATTAACCACTATGCTTGGCCAGCTAAATATTAATGACATTTTTATCTGGTCATTAGTCTTTGTATTATGGAGAAGACATTGGGAAAAATTGGCTTTTCTGCGGCTTTTTACCCGTTTATCTAAAATAACTGAATTTAGTGTATCATTTGTTCTAGTCTAAAAATATGAAAACTTGGAAAATATCCTGACTTACTGAATTTCCTTCTTTCCATGTCAAGTTCAACTTTTATGTGTGATTTGGCTTAGGTTATATTTGTTTCCAGGATACATAGTTTTCATTTATACTTTACAAAACATGGGCAATAATTAGTGGAGTGGGCATAAGGAACTAGTAAAAAGACCGTATGTATTACTGTGTGAACTAAGTTCTTCACCGAGGTTTGTACCAATCATTTATTTCCTAGGTCTATATTTGAACTATGGGGTCATGGACAATCTCCTGAGGAGCTGTACAGTTCTCTTAAAAATTATCCTGTGGAGAAGATGGTGCGTAATAAAATGTGGTTTTATATAGGCATGTGTGCAGATTCTGTAGAACTACAATGCTCAAAAAACTTATTTCCTTTTAGGTTCCATTTCTACATTCAGACTCCACATATAAAATAAAGATTCATACTTTCAATAAGACATTGACACAAGAAGAGAAAATCAAGCGGATAGACGTAAGTAAATTTAGCAAAAGAAAAACCTACATGATGAATGCAGTCTAGCCATTGTTAATATATAAGAATACCCAATGTCTGTTAAGTGTTTATTTTGTACCACATTTTGTGCTAAGTGCTTTTCATGTTTTATTTAATGTTGACTCCAGACTTACAAGGTAATGTTATTAGATAAGCACCATTTTTCCTTGTAAATTTTTATAAGGCATTAACATTTCTTTTATTTTTTAGGCACTTGAATTTCTGCCATTTGAAGGAAAAGTAAATTTAAAGAAACCACAACATGTATTTTCTGTTTTGGAGGATTATGGTTTGGACCCAAACTGCATCCCTGAGAATCCACATAATATTTATTTTGGTAGATGGGTGAGCAAGTGCTGTTTCTACCTATGTCAATTTATTTTTTTGAAAGCTACATAGTAGGCCTTTGTATTTGACTCATATGTGGAACTATAAAGCAACTAAAGAGTACTGTAAGCTAAAGAGTCAGAATCCATAAAATTGGTGAAGAGTGTGATTGTGTTTTGTTTTGGTTTTTCCCTGAGATCTTATGAAGTGCAAGAGGCTTGTTAAATATAGGGAGGAGGTGGTCTACCTGGAAATGTTAAAATAAGACATCAGAAAATCTGGACTGGCTTTTTTTTTTTTTTTTAAATCAGAGAAAACACAGTGCTCTGGTAGTTGAGGGATCTCATTTGTGGAGATTTCCAATCTGGATCTTCCATTCCAAAAGAAATGAAATTACTGTAGAGCAGTTCTGTTGACTTCTTGGAGGCTTTAAGTGGGTGATTGGAAGCTGTGAGTGAAAGTTGTGCCTTATGTTAGAGATTATTATTATGGAGGAGAACAAAGAAATGGACTTACCTTAGCAACTACCTCTGGAATAATTGCATTCGAATTCAGTTCATACTTGTTTTGAAAAGACAAAGTAAGTGGAATGACATTAAGAAACAAAAGGTTTTGTCCATAACTACTTCAATTACATTTTTTTAAACAAATAAGTTTAGAGCAGTAATAAGTGGAAAGAAGTTCTTGTCAGCAAAATACAATGGTCTTATTGTGAACGATTATCTTGTCTGTTCTCTATGACTGTACTAACTTGAGAAATATCTCTGATTTAGATTGCAGATGGACAGAGAGAGCTTATTGAGTCATATAGTGTCAAAAAGAGACACTTTATTGGAAATACAAGTATGGATGCTGGTTTGTCATTCATTATGGCTAACCACGGAAAAGTGAAAGAAAATGATATTGTCTTTGATCCATTTGTTGGAACAGGTATTTTTATTTAACTTTTAAGCTAATGTAGAGGTGTTGCTTATTTATATTAATAATCATGGTAATATTTTTGCTAGAAGAGTAAATGGGTAATGTTTTAATTATGTTTGGATAGTGGTCAAAAGACAACCACATACTTGTGTATTAGCTAGTATTTAACACTTTTGCCACTTCAAAGATGATGCTGATAGAATTGTATGGGTTTTATTCCAGATAAACACTAGCAGGGAACATCCGTCTAATTTTTTTATAGCAGAAAAATTTGCAATACCATACGTTGTAGAAACGCTGTAAAGCTGTATAGTTTATTTAAATAGGAAAACTCTTGGTGAAAGACAGACTTGAATGACAAGATCAAAAAAATGTATTCATCCATGTTTAAATTAATAACCATATATGTGGATGGAGAAAAATAGTTAATATATCCTATCTTTGAGTTTGTTTGTGCAGGTTTATAAGTAAGTGTGAAAATAAGAAAAGTGTCTTAAGTATCAATGGGCTAGAGCCTGGTCGCTATGGCAGTGACCTTGGTTTTTTGTGCATATGACTGGGATAATTTTATATGGAAGTCCTAAAACTCCAAGTGTACTTCATCTGACTCTGTGCAGACGTTTTCCTACTTCCATTCAGTTTTGCTTGATCTTACCCATACCTAGCAAATACTTGTATTTAAGTTTGGCCAAACTCATTTTATGGCTCAGTTTGTGGTTGGAGCCTCTCCTGTAGCCATCTTTCCTCGTGAGCAGTGATAATGCAGAGCTAACATTTATTGAATAGTAAATGTATCAGGTGCTATGCTGGGCACTCTGATATTACTATCTAGTTTAGTTCTTAGAACAACTAACATGGAGATACTTTAAAATTTTTCTGGAGGAAATTATGGCACAGAGAGAGGTGAATGACCAAGGTTATACAGTATATTGGTTTCATAGGATTCAGACTCAAGCAGTCCGACTCCAGACCTCATGTCTTAACTTAGAGCTGCCTATCTGCATTAGGATCTACCAACCAACTATTATACCATGTACTAACTTAAGGAATATGACCACGTATGCTTAGAAAGAAGTAGTAATCAAGGGTGAGAAATTTCTAACTGATAGCATGACTTTCTCTGTTTGCTGTTGAGTTAATTCACTGGTGAGTCTTTCTGTGCCAGTTTCTCCATATCACTCACCCTCAACATACTCTATATCCTTTTCTTCCCCACCCTCATTATCCTGAGTACCTCTCCCCAGATTTTAAACTTTTTATTGGAAATAATATCAAACTTTCAGAAAAGTTACAATAATAAAAGAACAAAGAACATCTGTGTATCCTTAATTTAAGCTGTTGTTAACATTTGGCCTCACTTACTTTATTATTTGTTCTATTTGTTTATATTTACGTAGTATTTTCTTTCCTGCGTCACTTGAAAGTTGTATCCATTATATCCCTTTACCCCTCAAGTACCTATTTCTCAAGAATAAGGCTGTATTCTCGTATATAACCACAGTACTGTTTTCAATGTTAATAGATGTATTAATATAGTACTTTGATATTCATATTCCTGTCTTGTCAGTTGACCCAATAATGTTAATATTTTTGATAGCATCCTTTTCCCCTTCCTGGCTAGGATCAGGTATTATATTTTGTTGTTAAGATGTCTTTGATTTGGAATACAGCCGGAGTTTCTTGTTCTTTTATGAAATTTGCACTTTTCAAGATGGTATTTCTCTTCCCTTTATTTTTTATCTAAATTGTTCCATATTTTGGGTTGTTTGATGTTTCCTCAAGATTAGGGTTAGGTTATACATTCCCAGCTGGACTGCTGCATCAGTGATTTTTGTGTCCTTCTCGGATGTGTACATGACGGCATTCTGCCCTGCATGGATATTGGTAATTTTGATCATCTGGTCAAGGTGGTGTTTGATTTTTTTTCACTCATAATCATAAACAGTGCAATTACTGTTTTTTGTTTGTTATTCTTGCTATTAAGCAATCTGTGGAGAGACACATTAAGACCGTGTAGTATTCCATTCCTTATCCAGATCTCCTCTTACCACTCAGATTACCAGGTTTAGTAGCCATTGATAATTTTTTCCTGAACCATTCTTTACTTGGATGGTTTGAAAGGGATGATTTTCCAACTCCAGTGCTCCCTCCACAGTTACAAGTCAACATTCATTATTATACTGTAAGCAGGAGCCCTTTCCTCTCTTCCATGTATTTGTTTTTCTATTTGTTGCTAATATGAACGAGTGTGTTCCCCTTTTTAACGCTGAGGGTCTATAATTCATTACATTTCTTAAGTTTCTTAATTACTTTTGTTGCTCAAATTGTGATTTGCCCAGTCAGAGCTCTTTCACATTGAATCTGTGTTTGTAACATGTTCCTATCCATTTTTCTTTTGAATACATTCTTCCTCATTCTTCCTTTCTCTTCTATTTGTTCCAAGTTCAGTTATCAATCATTTCTCCAAGGAATTTTTGTTTCTTTTAGTGGAGAGATGAGATCTGGATTATAGATACTTTCAGTGGACAAACTAGAAAATATATATGCATATGTATATAATATGCATGTAAGTGGATATGCAAATATACTTGTATATGTTCCTATATACTCTGTGTAATGCACATGCATGAGCATATACGTATTTTAGACATTGAATTTGTACATACGCTACAAATTGTAGTCAGTCTTTACAGATTTCTTTTTGACTACCCTATTTTTATTTTTTTTGTAATCACCCAACCTTTATTATTCCACAGTGAGAACCTTCTTCCACAGTGAGAACCCTGGTTCTTATCTACATCAACACATTTATTCTTTTTCTCATACCTATATCTGAAATAGTTTCACAGTTGTTTTGCCTATGCCACTTAAAAAAATCCTATGAATAAGAATTCAGGATATGTTTTCAGTTCTTTACCCTAAGAAGTGGTAAACTCAAATACTGTGCCTGCTTTTTCCCTTTTCATTTAAAATTCATTTGGGTTAATTTGTTCATTTTGCCCTCTGTTTTAGGTTTTTATCCCCCATCCCCCATTCCTTGTTGATTTACTTTTATTTTCAGATATGTATAAGATGAACTTGCTTCCAAAAAGTCAGAACTATACAAGAAGTGGTACTCAGAGGTGTCACTTAACTTTTATAACCCTTCCAACCTGTTCTCCCACCTCTCCTAGGTGACTAACTTCATTGTTTTCTAGTTGATTCTTCCTGTGTTTCCTTTTGTAATGATAAGCAGATATATGCACATTTTCTTATTTCCACTACTTTCTTACACAAAAGGTAGTATGTATGTTGGTTTTAACTTTGCTTGTTTCACTTAATAGTATTTCCTGGAAATCACGTCCTGTAGGTTCATGGAGATCGTCTTTATTCTTTTTTAGTTTTGCTCCATGAGTATATGTACTGTAATTTATTCAAACAATCTCCTATAGTTGGACATTGGTAGTTTTCAGTATTTTACAGTTACAAATAATGCTTGTAATGACTACCCTTATGAATATATACCTTTGTAACGTTGGAGACGTAGCCCTAGGGCAAGCTCGTCCAACCCGCAGCCTGTGGACCACATGCAGCCCAGATGGCTTTGAATTCGGCCCAACACAAATTTGTAAAGTTTCTTAAAACATTATGAGAATTTCTGTAATTTTTAAAAAAATCTCATCAGCTATCATTAGTGTTAATATATTTTATGTATGGCTCAAGATAATTCTTCTTCCAGTGTGATCCAGGGAAGCTAAAAGATTGGAACCCCCTGTCCTAGGGTAAATTCCTACAAGTAGGATTTCTGTGTTGAAGAGTATATTCATATGCAATTTCATTAGATATTGCCAAATTTGTCTCCATTATACTATTTTGGATTCCTACCAACAATTGTAGGAGAGTCCCTGTTTTTCCACAGTCTCACCAGCAGAGTATATTTTCAAGCTTTTGAAGTTTTGCCTGTTCTGTTGGGTGAAACATGGTATCTCAGTGCAGTGTTAATTTGTATTTCTGTGGTTATGAATGAAGTATAACAACTTTTTATAAGGGCCGTTATGACTTTTTTTTGAATTGTCTTTTATGTCTTTTGCCCATTTTTCGATAGCATTTTTGGTCTCTTCCCCCTCATTTTTCAAGTTCCTTTGTAAGTTTGGGCTACAGCCCCCTCGTACCTCTTTTTCTGTGATGTATGTGCAAGTATTTTACCTTAGCTTGTCATTTATCTTTTGACTTTGCTACTAATTGATTTTTGCCATGCAAAAGTTTTCCCCACACTCAAGTTATAGAGGAATTCATTAGTGTTTTCTTCTAGTACTTTCATAGTTTTACACTTTTTCTTTTTAGATCTCTAGTTCATTTGGAGATTGTTCTATGATGTGAAAAATGGATCTAATTTATCTTTTTCCAAATGCTAAAGCTTTTGTTCCTAATCTTGGGTTTTAAAAGCTTTTTCTGTCAATTGAGAAGAATTCTTTTAGCTATATACACGAACAAAATGATTAATATATATACATACACATAGACTAGACCACAGATTTAAAAATATGATTGCCAATATGGATAATATTTTTTGTTGAATAGATGAGGTTAGGTATATTTTGAAATTATCTTCACGGCTGTCAATATGTGGACCATTTGTAGTGTGTTGAGGGGCAAGGAGACCTGTTTCTGTTTCCTTTAGGGCAGCTTTTCACAGTGGGTGGTATATTTGGATCATCTGACTATTCATATAAGACAATTAATGGAAAGTGAGAGGAGGATCTTTGCAAAGGTGCTGCTAAAACACATTTTATTAATTTGTGTTTGTAGTTTAAATATAGCTTTAGGACGTCAGTCAATTTTTGGTGCTTTTGTTTTGAAATATAATATCCAGTAATTGTGAATAGATACAGGTCTTAAGCAGTTTGTCCTCTCTTGGGCCTTTTGCCTCATTGATGGATAGTACCTTCTGAAGGATTGGAGAAATATGTAGCTCTGTGCCCTCCTCCATGGCCATAGTTTTCACAAAATATTTGTTGATATTTTTTCTTTTGGTTGCCTTTTTAAATAGTTTTTTTTAAAAAATGCATGTCTAATCCCCTTCTTAAAGGTACAAAATTGAAATGTATGTAGTTTCCCAAATGCATTGCCCACTTACTACTCATGGTTTGTGATTTTTCTCAGGGATATAGAGTAGAGTAGAAAGGTTCTAGGAGGCTGAAAGAGAAATACAGCTTTTTCCTGCCTAAATACCTTTCCTTTTTTCTTTTAGACTGTTTGTTACTGTTTAGAATGACATTATGAGTGGCAGAAACACATTTTTCTTTCTATTTTAATAAATGCATTGGTTTTCATTTTAGTAAGATTTTTTAAAATTGTGTGTATTTGCCTCCACTTTCCCAAAGGGGAAGAGACATAGCATTGTGTCAGCTCTCAGTTGTTAGGAATTGCTACTATTCTGTTGTGAGTTTGACTAAAGGAATGATCAGCATGAATTTACTGAATACCTATTAATGGCACAGCCCTGTCTGTGATACAGTACAAGACTTGTGAATGGCATATGTAACATTCTTATTAACAGAGTAGGTAGCTTCACTTAATTTAATATAATTTGTTTACTAACATACTTTGCTTTTGTTTATCTAATTGGTGAGTGAATATGTATTTACATCAATTGGTGCTAATCCCGAAGGAGGTAGTATAATATAAAGAAAATAGAGCAAAGTTTAAATCTTTTTACCAATTAGTATGTGACTTTGGGCAAGATTCTTAACTTGTCTGGGTTTCAATTCTTTCATTTGTAAAGTGGTAATACTAATATATTGTGAGGATTAAGTGAGGCAATATGCATATGTAGTATCTAGAAAGTTGCCTGACAAATGGTAGACAGTGAACTGTAATGCTTATCATTATTACTTATCAATTATTATTTTGATAAGATTTTAGATGCCTTTTTGGTTAACAGTGTTAGATGTAGCTAATATTAAATGGTGATGACGAAGAATTTGACCATAAACTCATTTTTTAGTATTCTTTTTGGCTGATTTCAAAGATACTAATAATTTGCAACTGTTGGCAGGGGATAGCAGCAGACAAGGACGTTGAAATGTAAAATTATAAATGTCTAATTCTTTGTTTATAATTAAAATAATATGTACAAGTATATGCCAGTCGCTTTAGGTAGCACAGAGCTCTGCAGCCATAGCTCTGATTCCCTCTCATCTTCTCTGTCAAGTGAGTCAGCTCCTCCAGTAATGACAGTTCACTCGGGAGACTAATGTATACTTGTTGGCCGTGTCTACCTTCAGTTGACTAATAGGTGTAAGGAAAGTAGTGTAGCTCCTTTTGAAGTTTTATCATTGCAAAATAGTGGACACAGGAACCAGGTGTTAGGAAACTGACTATCCTGGTTCTAGGAAGAGAAAATGGGGAGAAAAAGAGAAAGGAGAGTGAGGTAATGGATCTCTGTAGGTTTGTGTAATATTCTGTTTCCCATTTTTTCCCTACTACCCTTTGTAGTCCCCTCTTCCTGGAATATCATGGTTTGTCTAGAAATCCCATTGTCTAGCAGTATTCTTTTGCTCAGCCTGCTAATTTAATTTGTTTAAGTAGAATTCTTTTTTTTGAGAAAGATAAAATAGATGCAATAATATTGCCATTTTTCTTTCTTTTTTTCCTCTCAGCAAAACCAAAGCCCAGTCTCATTTTTCCATATTTGCAAAGCTTTCCACTTAGTTCTCTAAAGATGAAAATCATGAATAATTTTTTACATCTTAGAATAAATTCCAATTCTTATTGTATTCTTTTGTCTGTAAGATATTACCCTAACCTTAAAGTACTTACAATTTCAGTAATGAGAAATTGAAACACTGAGTTGCTAGTGTACATCACATAGGCAATATTTTTACTTTTTGAAACATAAAAAGAAATGGGTGAATCACGTTACTTGCCTCCTTGACACTTCGCTCTCCTTTTTAGTACCCCTTTTTCCACCAAAAAGCCCCCCCCAAAAACTCCAACTGAGGCATAACTAAATGTAAAAAGCCCTTCAATTTCATCAAAAGAACAACTAGATGACTACCAGTGATTAGCCAGTGACCAGTTCAGAGAAGCTAATTTATTATGATTTAATTTTTAAAAAAGCTTAAAAGGCACGAAGTTAACTATCAGATATAGTCTAACAGATTATTCATCTCCTTTCAGCAGTGTACTTGTAAATTGGGTCTTCTCAAAACTCACTCTAACCAAATGGATAAGGTTCTGTTTAAGGAAGCGCAGGAAAGCTTTTCTGTTCCCCTTGACAACTAGTTCTTCTAGGTGAGTATCTGCCTTAATTGGCAGAATTGTAGTACTTCCTTGTAATTTGGGTGAAGTGACTTTGTGAGTATTCCAAGTCATCACGTATGCTGCCTTTCCTAAATATGGAGTGTTCCATTTCCAGAGTAAGAATTACGAGGACTTTTTAACCTTCCCTCTCACATGAATGCTTTTTGCAGTTAGTATGAGAAGACCTAGGTTTTGGTTTCTGCTGTACTTTTAGTCTTTCATGTCTCTTCTTCATGGATTCCCATAGGAACTAGTCAGTTATAATTTTCATGAACAAAGTATTTTTAAGTCCATGCTATCAGACTATGTTTTAAATAGCTATGGAAGGAACACCATTAATTTATGAATCTTGATCCTCCAGAGGCACTACCCATCTTAGTTTTAAAGATTACACCTCAAAAGGATGTAAAGGAAAGAGCCCTAGTTTTTTCCCCTTGTCCAAGTCTGTGCATATTTTGTAGTCTAAGAATATATTTGTGATTTCAGCTTGACTAGCAGACCTTCCTAGAGTAAAGCTAATTAAAACTTGCCCAAGCACTAAAAGCATTTTAATTTGAATGATTTTAAAAAGTGAATTGCAAACCACATTGCCATGTGTGTACCTATGCAACAATCCTGCATAATCTGCACATGTATCCCAGAACTTAAAGAACAATTAAAAAAAAAATACATATATATATATAAAAGTTAAGTTAATTAAAAGTACAATTATTAAAAGTTTAATTTTGTACAATTTTTTAATTTAAAAATACCATTATCTTTTATTTTAAAGAGTTTCATTTTTATTTTAACCTTTATTAAGATTTTTCTTCATGTGTCAGCTGGTCACATCTGTCACATTACTTTGTCTAGTCAGATTGTATTGGGACAATGGTTCTTACTTTGGTCACAGCACTAATAAAAACTGTTTATTAATTATTTTGTGCATGTTTGGTAATTGTTGTTCAGAAATTCACATTTATAATTTAAAATAAGAGATAATTACTTGATTGGTTACAGGAGTAACTGTATATTAAAATAGTTAATTCTTACAAAAAATAAAATATATCCTAACCTTTTAATTTCTGTAAGAACTAATGTCTTACATATTAATTATGTCCTCTTTATTCGTCTGAAACTCTGACTTCAGTGGGGCTCAAGCCCAGTTGTCAGAATTTATTATATTTATTTCCAGCTCTTTGTGTAAATAGCCTTATATGCTCATTTTTAAGAAAGGAGCAAAATGCTTTTGTGTAGAGCTCTCAAAATAAGATGAAAATGTCTAAATATACATTATTTTGACCCCCAAAAATATAATTTTCCATCAGTAGTGCATTATGAAACTAATGATGCCAGGGTATACATTAATTACTCTACTTTGTAGTCAGTTTAGTGAATATAGCTTAGGGTTTTGTTTTTTTAGTCCTGAGGTTGATTAAATATGTTATGACCAGTGTCATTCCAGGATACTCTGCCTGCAGCTAGTTTCTAAGACTGGATGAAGTTAAATAGGAATACACAGGAGTTTGGGACTTACCGACCGATCTGTGTGATTTTTCAGGTGGCCTCCTGATAGCATCTGCTCATTTTGGGGCATATGTATACGGGACAGACATAGACTACAACACAGTTCATGGCTTGGGTGAGTAGAGATTATAGACAGTATTGTAGTCTTTGCTGTTGTACCAAATATGCCTTTAAAAAAGTAAAATACAGTTGACCCTGGAACAACACAGGTTTGAATTGCACAGGCCCACTTATACTCAGATTCTATTTCCATCTCTGCCACTCCTGAAACAACAAGATCAATCCCTCCTCTTCCTCTTCCTCCTCAGCCTACTCAACATGAAGATGATGAGGATGAAGACCTTTATGATGATCTACTTCCACTTAATGAGTAGTAAATCTATTTTTCCCAAATAAAGTAAGTATAACACTAGGCTATTAGTAGTTAAGTTTTTGGGGGAGTCAAAAGTTATATGTGAATTTTTGACTGTGTGAGGAGTTGGCATCCCTTACCCGCCATGTTGCTCAAGGGTCAACTGTAGTTTTATATGACATTATTTTAATCTTCAGATATAAAATCGTGATGTAATTTTACTTGTTTTTGTAAGATTTCAATGGGTATTTTATAAGATTGTCATTGGATAATCTTTAAAGTAACTTTAAAGATTCTGCCTTAAACTGAGGGTACTGGAAACAGTCATCTGCTTTACTTTTCAGGTAATTATGGAAAATACTTTAAACTCTAGAAGCTTCAATAATGATGATGTGTGATTGGATGGAATTGAATCAAACTGAAAAAATATTTCCTTACAGCTTAGTGGTATTAAAAATGTGATTTTCTTGATAATTTCGAGATTATTTGTGTTTATGTTGGTATTCCATTATAGTAACTGGGATCAGCCCTTGTAATAATCTTTTCCTTTGGTGAGCATTTATTATACTTTATTTTCTTTTGCTAAAGTAATTTGATATCTTGTACTGATGACCTGTCTTTCCTTACCTTGACTGTAAAGAATTTGGTGACTTTTATTAGGAAAATGAGTTATCATTTATTAGGTGTACATAAATGGGCTAGCAAGAAAAGGATATTCTTTATCTGAAATCTGTTTTAAAAAGTACTAAGAATTAGGCTAGGTACGGTGGCTCGCGCCTGTAATCTCAGCACTTTGGGAGGCCAGGGTGGGTGGATCACCGGAGATCGGGAGTTTGAGACCAGCCTGACTAACATGGTGAAACCCCGTCTCTACTAAAAATATAAAAATTAGCTGGGCGTGGTGACAGGTACCTGTAATCCCAGCTACTCGGGAGGCTGAGGCCTCCTGAGGCAGGAGGATTGCTTGAACCCAGGAGGCGGAGGTTGCAGTGAGCTGAGATCATTGCACTCCAACCTGGGCAACAGAGTGAGATTCTGTCTCAAAAAGAAAAAGTACTAGGAATTAGTCCAGTTTGCTTTTAGTAGAAGCAGTATATTTTCTTTGAGGAAATTGTCTCGTATAATTTACTTGAATTTTTATTTATTAAAGTTATATTTGGAAACTTATGTGGTAACCTTCATTCTACTGGGGTAGAATTCTGATTGAGGCAGAGTTTCCTTAGAGCTGATCCAAGATACTATTAGGTATGCTGTCTGTTTCCTATGGTTCTGATCTCTTACTTTATCCTGAAATATTATCAAGTTTCTCCTATTTTAAAAGTATAAAACATGTTTTTTTTCTTTTTTTTTAGCAAATCTTTAGAGGCTTTCTAGCTACCCCTTTGTTTTCCTCTTCCATTTGCCAAAATACTTCTTGAAAAACTGGTATTAACTTGCTGTCTCCTCTTCTTTGTCTTTCACTCTCTCTTCTTCCCATTATTTTCCAGCTTCTGTGCCTGTCATTCTGCTGAAAACACATACTAAGACCACAGATTTATAGCATTTGACAATGTTGACCTTCATACAGCCACTCGTGGTTTCCTTGACAGTGGTCTCGGCAGGTGGTACTTCTACTTCTTTGTTTCTTCTCAGTCTACTTGAGGCCCTGCAATTTTCTTTGATTTCTGTTTATATATTATTTTTTCCAGGTGTTTACCTATCTTTGACCACTTCTCCTGTCATATTGCATGTTTTTCCGAGTCATGTCATTCTTTTTTTGATTTTATAAGAATAATTATAGAGCAAATAGGTAACTACCTCCTAAGTTAACAAAAAAATGTTATTCAGTCTTAAGAGTCAGTTGAAGATTATATTACTGATAACTCGCAAGTATGTATCTTCTGGCCTTTAACTACCTGCTGCGTGTCTCCACTGCATATCGCTTTCTGAATGTTCTCCAGGTAACTCAAGGTACATCAATATTGATACATCTCAAATGAATCCCATCTTTTTTCTTAAGCTTGTTTTTCTTCCTGGTTTCTCTGATGTTAATCACTGGTGTCATCATCCTAAACTATCATGTCCCCTAAATAAGGAACTTATGAGCTTCTTCAGTCTTCCATCCATGGCCACTTTAACTTTTCATTAGTTAGCAATGTCTCCATTTGCCTCCCTTCTCCATGGTCACAACTGCTGCATTTCCCAAGTTAGGCCTCTTCATTTCTGTTTCATTTATCTGATTCATCACTATCTCTACACAGGACTGTTTACTGCAGGAAGGAAGGAGCCATATTCTCTTCAACTCTATCATACTTGAAGCTATCGAATGAGTGTTTTAAGGCAGTTTTACTTGAAAGGTGACAGAACAAGATAAATTAGACATCAGTACATTTTACTGTTATGTTGAAATTGAAATATATACTTGTATACATAAAATTAAGATTTTAAATGAAAGCCAATTTTGAATAAATGTAGGTTTCAATGAGCTAAAACGTTACTTTTAGCTAAATGACAGGAAATAAGAATACACTGTTTAATACATTCTCTCTTCCTTTTTCTTCCCTTCCAGGAAAGGCTAGTAGGAAAAACCAGAAATGGAGAGGACCAGATGAAAACATTAGGGCCAATCTTCGTCAATATGGTTTAGAAAAGTATTACCTTGATGTCCTGGTTTCAGATGCATCTAAACCTTCCTGGAGAAAGGACACATATTTTGATGCAATCATTACTGATCGTAAGTTTATTTTTATACAAAAATAGGAGTAGGACTAGTTTTGTAAAATCATTTACATTTAAAGTACAAAATTTACGAGCACATGCACAAAATGCCAGCTTGTCAGTATTTCTCCCATCCACCCCCAGCTTCCTCATCTCGTTATGAAGGTATAGCATGGATTCCAAACTTAAATACGGGCTCGGCGTGGTGGCTCATGCCTGTAATCCCAGCACTTTGGGAGGCTGAGGCAGGCGGATCACAAGGTCAGGAGTTTGAGACCAGCCTGGCCAGCATGGTGAAACCCCGTCTCTACTAAAAATACAAAAAATTAGCTGGGCATGGTGGTGAGTGCCTGTAATCTGAGCTACTCAGGAGGCTGAGGCAGGAGAATCGCTTGAAGCCAGGAGGCAGAGGTTGCAGTGAGTGGAGACTGTGCCACTGCCCTCCAGCCTGGGGGACAGGGTGAGATTCTGTCTCAAAAAAAAAACAAAAACAAAAGCAAAAAAACTTAAATAATGTTGTTAAAGGTTTACTGTTTTTGTTTTCTAAACAAATGTATTGACTTGCCATCCACTTTTACGTCCTTTTATATTAACTTGTCACCCGTTTTTTTCTTTCAGCTTATTTTTTTGAGGCATATACTTAATATTTGTTTTTGTATTGAATATAATTGGTGGTTATTATACCAGCTGGAGCTCAAATGTCATTTGCAATTATGGTGTCAAATTTTGAAGAAAAGAGTTTCCGATATCACACATTTCTCTATGTATAAGTATTTGTGTTTTTGTAGTGCCTGTTTTCACTGGCATCGCCTTTCTAGCATTACAAGAAATTTAGGGTTCTATGGAACCACTGGGTCTGTGAACCCACTGAGCTTCAGAAATGTGTGTGAAAATTTATTTTCCCATGCTTCATGAGGTCGTGAGCTTTTTAGGCAGCCTATCTAGGAAACGGTCTGCCTTTTCTATAGTATTTGACAGTCAATCTGTAAATAGTGCCAAAGTCGACCCTTCTATCTCAGCTGTCTTTAGTTCTTTGCTAACTTAGATATTTTCGAATGTACAAATGAGAAATTATCAAGGCATTATGGTTTCAGTGGTGAATATACTTTATGAAAATTTGGTGATTTTTAAAAAAATTAACAGTTTGCTTTATTATTTGCTCTTTCACTCTGTTTACTTATATAAAATACATATATATATATTTTTTTCCTGATCAATTTGAGAGCAAGCGGCATATATTGTGGCCTTTTACTTCCATACGTCAGTGTGTATTTCCTGAGACTATAGACAGTCTCTTAGCAAAAATAGTTATCAATTTCAGTAAATTGATAAAATAATTTCATCTGCAGTTTGCCATTCAATTTTGTCAATTGACTCAGTAGTATCTTTTATGGCATATATTTTCCCTCTAGGACAGGATCTACTCTAGAGTCAGGTGTTGTATTTAGTAATGATATCTTTGAAGCCTCCTTCAATTTGTAACACTTCTGCAGCCTTTCTCAATAACTTTTATAACATCAACATGTTTTAAGAAGACAGTTGCTCCTCCCCCAAGTCATTATGTTGTACATTTTCAGTTGGAATTGTGCATTCGTGGTGTTGTGTCCTTCTTAGCGTGCCACATTTGAAGGCAACATGTCTGTTTGCCCTTCATCAGTGATTTGGTGACTTTTGACTCTCTGTGTTACCTTTGTTTTCTGTCTAGCTCCATATGGTATCAGAGAATCTACAAGAAGAACAGGTTCACAGAAGGAAATACCAAAGGGGATAGAAAAATGGTAAGTGAAATTTAAACATGTTGTGTTACTACTTTAAGAAGAAGCATGTTGCTTCTGTAGTTAACTTAGCAGTCTTAAAATGTTTCACTGATTTTGAAATTTTGTTTTGTGTAGTCCAGAAAGCCATGTTCCTGTTTCCTTAAGTTATCATCTGAGTGATATGTTTCTTGACCTATTAAACTTCGCAGCTGAGACCCTCGTGTTAGGTGGAAGACTCGTCTATTGGTTACCGGTGTATACGCCAGAGTATGTAATCTTAATTTTATTTTTCTTACAATGTTTGCATATCTAGTATAATTTTTTCTTTCTCTCTTCTAGCATTCGGGGCATCTTTATATTAAATTTGTAATAGCCTTTATTTGCCTTCAAATGTGTATAAAATAGTCTTTTTATTTGTTTGTTTTTTTGAGACCAGGTCCTGCTCTATCGCCCAGGCTGGAGTGCAGTGGTGCGGCCATGACTCACTGCAGCCTTGACCTCCCAGGTTCAAGTGATCCTCCCACCTCAGCCTCCTGAGTAGCTGGGACTACAGGCATGGGTCACCACGCTCAGCTAATTTTTAAAATTTTTTGTAGTGATGGAGTCTCACTATGTTGCCTGGGTTGGTTTTAAACTTCCATGCTCAAGCAATCCATTACCATGGCCTAACTTTAGTTATGCATATCATTATCAGCCGACAAGAGAGAATAATACATTTGTACCCAGATCCCTTAACACCGAGTTTGTTTTGTTGCTAATGATAATCTCATTTGACCTCTTTTAGAAATGAGGAAACTTAAGGAGTGAAATGACCTATCTAAAATTAAAATCCAGCGAGCTTTGTTTCCTTATTCCCAGTGCTATATTCACTTATTTCAACATCCTGCCTGATCTCGTATATTTAGTACATGAAATGATAGGTGAGGTTTTATTAATATTTTCAGATAAGAGTATATTTGTTCATGTCTTTGCAAAAATGGTTCCTGCCTTAGACAAACTGAATTCCAGCAACGAGCTACTTACTTTTTGTTTTAATTCAAGTTGCAGGGCTAAAAAAAAAATTATTGTGAAATAATTTTCAAACTTATAGACGTTTCAAATATGATACAGGAAACCCCCATCGCTACCCTTATCCAGATTTTCCCAATATTAACATAAATCTACCTCTCGCCCACTCCTGCACATACCAATTATCACTAATCTTTTTGAAATTGAGAAATTGTTGGTTTGGTGCCCTCTAACCCCTATATACATCATTGTATTTTTTAGAAACAAGAACATTCCTATCTAACCATGCTCAGCCCTCCAAGTCTGGATGTTAGCATTGATAACAGTGTTACCATCCAGGTCATAGACCCCATTCAGATTTTACCAATTGCAATCCGTGTAGGAAAATGTGCCGTAGTCATCTATCTTATCTTTTTTGGTCTTCTTCGGTCCGGAATATTTTTTTTTTTTTTTTTTTTGAGACGGAGTTTCGCTCTTGTTACCCAGGCTGGAGTGCAATGGTGCGATATCGGCCCACCGCAACCTCCGCCTCCTGGGTTCAGGCAATTCTCCTGCCTCAGCCTCCCGAGTAGCCGGGACTACAGGCACGTGCCACCATGCCCAGCTAATTGTTTGTATTTTTAGTAGAGACGAGGTTTCACCATGTTGACCAGGATGGTCTTGATCTCTTGACCTCGTGATCCACCCGCCTCGGCCTCCCAAAGTGCTGGGATTACAGGCGTGAGCCACCGCGCCCAGCCCGGTCCGGAATATTTTCTGTCTTTCCATATCTTTTGTGTCCTTGGCAGTTTTGTCGAGGACATGGCTTATATTCTGAAGGTTGATCTTCAACCAGGGGCCATCTGATATTTCCTCTATACCCAGACTAAGGTAATGCTTTCTTGGTAAGAATATCACAGACATGATCTTTTCAGCACATCATAGGGCACACAAAGCCACTCCTCCTTGTAATGTTAACTTTGATTGTCTGGTCATGCTCTTTTCTGTCAGATTTCTCTTCTCTGAATCATCATTTTCTCTTTGATTTATATTTATGGGAAAATATAACAAGATTACACTAATATCTTGTTTTTCATCAGATCACTACTCAGATTGATGATTCCATTGTTGACAGCCACTGCTGTGGTGGTTGCCAAATGATTCTTCTGTTCCATCATTTCTTCTGCATTTGGAAGTTGGTATTCTATAAGAAAGAGCTTTTCTTTCTGCCCCATTTATTTCATTAATTTATAGTGGTATGGAGTCATGGAGTCATGGATTCCTATATTATTTATTGGGCTGTAATTCATCAGTAGTAGTATTATGTTGCTCAAATTGTCCCAGATTTGACCAGCGGGAGTTTTTTGAGCTGGCTCTTCTGTCCTTTCGAAAATATCCTCAATAGTTTTTTAGGAATTCCTTCCTTTTTAGCATATCTGACTGTTGATTGTTTTGTAGTTTATTGTTTAATCATACTTGAAATCATATGTGTTTAAGAATTTATTTTGGAGTTCTTTTATTCCTTTATAAAAAGTAATATTGGAGGCTCTTTAAACTGAATATATTTCTAAAGACTTTAAAAAGTGGCCACTGGATATTTCTGCAATGACTTCTCTATTTTAGTAATTTTAGACAAAGGAAAATTTCCAAACATATAACCCAACTGATATTTTAGAAATAGAAAAGGGAGACATGTTTTACCAATTTTTTCTTTTTTTGTCTTAGATGTTTTATCAACGAATGGATTTCTTTGTTATTGGCTAACACGTGGAAAGACTACAGTGGCATTTATTTCCCTCAGTTTTTGGCCCCTGGAGAGAGTTATTTTCAGATCCCCTGATGTTCATTATTAGACCTCAATTGTCTTTTCTCTTTAAGCCTAAAGTGATCTTATTATTAATAGTGAACTAAATTTGTCTTGAGTTTATGCAAGAAAAAATGAACTGTTTTCATATCCAAGATCTTTACTCTTTCGAAAATTCTTTACTGTTTTGAAAATAACACAGTATCAGGATGAATTTGAGTCTAAAGTCATCTGTAAAAGTTTGAAATAATGTTCTGAATAAAACAGTTTAGAATTCATTTAATTATGTTATATTGAAAATGTAGCTTTATATTGGACCAGGAGTAAAAAGGAATTCAATTTACAATTGTACCTTAGCATAGTTTAATTTTAAGACTTCTGTATTTTTGGTGTAGTGAATGTAGGCTATTAGTTCTGTTATTGAATTAATTTACTCTCAGCCAAATCCTGTTGTATGATCCAAGCTACATTATAACCAAGTCCAGGTATTATTTTAACCCAGGATCTATTGAAAAGTATAAGACATGAAAGCAAAATACTGTCTAAAAGCTTAGTTATATATGGAAAATTATAAGAGCTAACAATTGAAAAGAATTTTCTCACTGTTTGACAATTTAAATTGCAGTAAAGAAACTGCTACTCAGAAACTTGTGCTGTTTTTTTTCCTTCTAGTTTAGACTCTTTCCTACTCCAGTATATCAGACTTTTGCCAGCATCAGGATACTCTGTGCATTTTATGTCTTTTCACCTTTATTTGCTCTGTTTCCATTGTTTGAGATGCCCTTTCTTCTTTCCTCAGTTGGTAAAATTCTAGTCATTTTTCAAGGCCTGGCTTAATTGTCAGCACTTCTGTGACACCATCTCAGATACGTCTCAGCAGAATTAATCAGTCCTTCCTCTGCGCTCTCATAGTAGCTTGTTTTTACCACTTATAGAGACTTAACACATACCGTTTCTGTAGACTGTTGATATTTGTGAGTTTATTATTTACAATTTTGACTACTTGGAAGTGACCCAGATTATCTGTGTTACAATCATGTGTACAGGGCATCAGTCCAATGTGTACACATACAGTCCATGTGTGTTTGATGTCATAGGAGTCAGTGTGCTACTGAGTGAGTATAGCTGTTTGCCCAGGCTCCACATATCCATTTAGCTCTACCTAATTTCATTGTATATAGATAGCTCTTGAAGTGATTGGAAACAGCGTTTCTTTATAAAAGATGACCTTTATAGAAATCTAACTGCTAGTGTTAGTGATAACATGATGACATACTTATATTAAAATATCACATTGTACCCCCCAAATATATACAATTCATCAATTAAAAATTTTTTAAAGGGTGGGAAAGAAGCTAATAATGTGCCCCAAAGTAGGACTTGGAGTTAAATTTTGATCATAGTTAAGATGAACTTTGTGGTGGCTATAATCAGTGAAGAGAACGTGTTTTTCATCTCTTAGGAAAGAGGAAAAAGTGATTTCTTAAGCTGTTTTCAGTAAACGTTTAATCAATGCAAAATCTGTTTCTCAAATGGGAGCTGAAATTCTAGTGACATTTGGAAAGTAGTTGAAGCATGACGATTCACAGGAAAATAAGTGACAGTCAAAACTGATTTGTGGAAAATCTAAGGGCCTATGTACACAATTATTATTTTTTAAAATTGAAATAGAATTTGTATACCATGAAATTCACCGTGTTAATGTATACAGCTTCATGGTTTTTAGTTTATCCACAAAGTTGTGTGATCATTACCACTTGGTAATTCCAGAACATTTTCCTCATACTCCCCCCAGCCCCACCCCAGAAGAACCGCATAGGCATTAGCAATTACCATCCCCTACCTCTGGCGACCACTTGTCAGTCTCTGTGGATTTGCCTATTAAGGATGACTTAGTTTTTAAATACATAACTTGGATTGTAGGGGGATGTTAATAAAAACAGGGAGTTAAGATAGGATTTGGTACTGTCATAATAGTCCAGGCAAAATACAGATTTATGCCTTCTACTTATCCATTTGCCAACAGTCCTTTGGAATGAAATATATTGGTAAATATACAGTGAAGATTTTTTTTCTTTTTTTTGAGGCAGAGTTTTGCTCTTGTTGCCCAGGCTGGAGTACAATGGCACCATCTTGGCTCACTACAACCTCCGCCTTTTAGGTTCAAGCGACTCTTGCCTAAGCCTCCCAAGTAGCTGGGATTACAGGCATGCGCTACCATGTCTGGCTAATTTTGTATTTTTAGCAGAGATGGGGTTTCACCATGTTGGCCAGGCTGGTCTCGAACTCCTGACCCCAGGTGATCCACCCACCTTGGCTTCCCAAAGTGCTAGACTTGCAGGCAAGAACCACTGCGCCCAGCCGAAGAATGTTTTAACAGCTATTTTTAATCTTTTTAGTATGGTACTTGGGGAGCATATTGTTAAATTGATTGGCTCATTAATATAATAGATTATATTAATTAATAGATCAATGGCTAAAAATGAGTTAAGATTCAGTCAAAAAAGATAATATAAAACATGTAAACATGGTTTTCTGCTCTTAAACCAAATGCAGCAGCTTAGTTCAGCAGTTTAGCATTGCTCATGTCATAGATGTTAATTAAAATTGTATTGGTTTTGTACTCTGGGATTTGATTTATAAATTTACTTTCAGGGTTTTATAGTTAGGGTATAAACATAAAGAGTTTGTATCTAATTTATGCTCGTACTTATTTAAGTGACATTTTAATAAAAATACTTAAAGTCAGTCTACCAGGAAGTAAAAGATTTTTTTCCTTTATAAAAGAGTATATTACTTAGTTTGACACACACAGTTTCCAGCATCTATATATCCTACAGTTTGTAAGCTTAAGGTCAAGGCTATATCTTCTCTCCATTAACACTTTTTATTTTAGTCTCAACTATGGTGTAGAATATATTCTTTCTATTGCACTCCAGCCTGGGCAACAGAGCAAGACCTTGTTTCTGAAAAAGAAAAAAAAAATGTATCCTTTCATGTCATAAATGCGTTGCATAAAGATTCAAAATTTGATGTCAGTGTTATAAGAAGTACGACATTTCTGGCTATGCAGTGAGCATTAAGGAATTACTAGATGAGGTGAAATCTGAAGTGCTCATTACTTGTTGGAAAGCTTTAGGAAGAAGTCAGAGAATGACTTCAAGATAGTTCTTTCCACTGAGAATAAATTCTTTCCACTGAAGTGCATTATGAGTGATGCTTGGGAAGTGGTGATGATGGGTTTGAGCATATGGTTTAGGTAATAGGGATAACTCGTTGAAGGTCAGTGGGACCTGGAAAAGTTCATGAAAGAGTGGTGATGAGAACAGTATTGATGCATTAAAACAGGTAGCTGAGATTGTGGTCCTTTACATGAAAGCTAATCAGCACTTTTCCTATTTTGGATCAGACCTTTAAGATTACCTGTTTAATAAATGTGTTCAGGCATCATCCAAAAGAGCATAAAAAATTGCAAAGGAAAAATAAATACTGGCAACACAGTGTTCTTAAAAGTACCCATGCCTAGTGAGTCCCCTCCCTTGCTGTTCTTTCACATTCTGTTCCGTAGCTATTTCCCCACCTCTGTTATCTATTTCTTTTGCCAAAATTGATGCTAACAACCTGTCAGATGCCAGATTCTGAACTCCTGCCCTTGACCATCCTGCTTTCTAGACATTGTCATTATCTCCATCCATGTAGGACATGTGCTGTACAGCAGCAGTCTCTACCACTCACTGGCATAGTTTTCATTTTATTTTTTGGTTCATATGAGCAGTGGGTTGATGTAACCTGTAGTGTCTATTTTAGTTGTAGTTTATTTGAATAATTTTACAAATAACTGTAGTTCTATATTTACAAACTTAATAGAGGTCTCGAGATGTTATTAAAATTTTACAGAAGTATTTCATTTAGAGTAAAGTATATGCTGTAGTGGATTTTATACTTTGGGAATTTATAAAAATCTATGGATGAATCAACCCTTCATGAATGTCAAGGGATGTTTTTGAGTGTATTTTTGTCCATCTTTTCTTACGGAATTCTGTAGGGTGGAATCATCTTGTACTTTTGCAGTTTGAATGTTTGGCATTCTTCAACAAAACGTACTTAAAATATTTCTCTCTTATTCTATAGGTAAAAAATTAAATTGCATTTTTGAGATATGATAAAATTAAGATACTTTATTTGTAGGTAGTTTATGGATCATATGGACAGTTAGCATATGTGGGGAAAAAGAGCATGTAGTGAAGGGCATCCCACACCACACTTGGTGATACTCATGATTCTTTGTGGGCCACACACGTGAGTGTTCCTAACAGTCAGCTGCTCTTTCTGCAGATACACTGAAGAGATGGTGCCTTGGCACCCCTGCCTGAAACTCATTAGCAACTGCGAGCAGAAGCTTTCCAGTCACACATCAAGGCGCTTGATCACAATGGAAAAGGTGAAGAAATTTGAGGTAAATTGGTTTAGTATTTTTGGCATAAATTCTGAAAGAATCAAAAGTAGTTGTTTCTAAATAGTTTTCCTGTGATTGAGTTTGGAAATGTTAGTCCTTAATATTTAAAAAATTACAGATGAATTTAGCAAGAGGCAGAAGGTGAAGAGATTTGTGGCATCTGGTTAGGATTGAAGGGTAGGAGTTGGATATAGACATAGACATTGAGTAGAGTACAAATAAACGTTGACCCTCACTTCTCAGGCTGTATTTGACATCCTTATTGCTAACTCAGTTATAAAACAGCATTCTTAAACAACTGTTATTGAATTAGCAATGTCCTACTTACCATTTTTCTCCTAAAGCAGAACCTACTTGATTTCAGACTGTAATGAAGAGAATATGTTGCTTTATAAAAGAGAGAAAGTAAATGTCCCCAGTTTGTTAGGGTCCAACACATTCTGTCTCTCTTTCTCTTTCTCTCTCTCTTGTATACAAAATTTATTTAAGCTTAAGAAGGAATGAAACATCTGTTATTTCATACCCAGACCAGAATTGACATGAATAGTGCCTCATAATGGAGCTTAATTAAATCTACAAAAACTCTTTGGGCTGTTCTTCTGTCGACTGACAACCAAATCTCTCTCAAATTCACTGGAAACTTGGAAGACCCCCATTTTTGCTTTGGACCTTTAGGGTAAGCAGAAGAAAGGTGGTAGTGTCTGAAGATTTCACACCCATCTCTAGTCTGCGTTTGATTTGTTTTTATATAGTTCCCATCTTATGGATTATTTCATAGTAATGAAAACTAATATTTGCACAGTGCCTTTTGCATATATTATTTTATATCATTGTTTTTGTCCTTTTTATTTCCATTTGCTATCTCTAATTTAGACCCTTATTACCATACACCTGGCTTAAGTTCAGTCTCCTAAATGATCTCCTTCATACCTCTAGTTTATATGTTAAGTGAATCTTCTTAAAACACTGAACTCACCATCTTATGCAAAATCTTTTTTTATTACTGAATAATGTTCAGAATTTTCAGTGTGACACAAACTGTCATCTGTAATCAGGCTCCAGTGTCAGGGCTTTTAAGAAAGCTAACCTATACATCTATATTAGTAGTTGATTGGTGTCTACTACATATATATATATGAATATATATGGTTATATGTGTACATACATATAAACATGGATGTATAGGTATATGTGGTGTAATTAAAATGAAAATGTATGGCAGTCATTTTTAAAACAAAAATACTAGAAATTTATATTCAGATTACATCCTTGGAGTGGAATCTTTGTACTCATCTATTTCTGTCATAATTTTTCAGCATGCTCTTGAAGCTTACATTTTAGATTTGTCTCTAAAAAGTATTTTTATATTAATCAGTTATTTTGCTTTATAGTAACACCTTGCTTTTCTTCAAAGATTTTATTGGTCTTTGCTGCTCATATTTTATACCGGACTAATTATTTAAAATTGTTTTTGGAAATCAGATTCTGTTTCAAAGATGATGATTTGTCATTAAACATTTAAAACATTGCAGATTCAGAAATTCTACAAATGGTTTCCAAATTGTTTGGCATCATTACAGCCCTCCAGAATGAAAATTTAAAATGACTAACATTTATTTGGATATACAGTAGAAGCCCTCTTATCTAACATCCATTTCAAACTCTGTTGATTAACCAATACTGGCCATTCTTTCTTTAAAACACACTGCCTGATGCAATAATATGTTGTATGTTGAATACTTTCAGCTGGTTAGTTGCTTGATCTCTACTATATTTATATACAGTACTTCTGCATCTATCAGCTGAATTATCCGTTTAACAAGATGCTCTTGTGGTGTTCTCAGAGCTGTTTATGCCAGTTATATTTGTTATGGTAATTATGTAATCTACTTAAATACTAGTTAGACTAGTGAAATATTTATGTAAGAATAAAGTTATAATTTCTATAAAAACTAAGTTGAATGCTTTAGAAAGAACAAAGTGAGTTCCTTAAAAAAGACTCTTGAATTGAGAATGGGTTGGAAAAAAAGTAATTGCAATCTTGGTTTTTGCACCCAGATTGCTTTGTAAGTTCTTGCATCATTTTATAGAAGCCCAAACTAGAATTCTTTATAGGTCTTGATTCTGTATGAGTATATACAAATGAATATTGGTTTTTTAAGTTAAAATAAGTTTAATGTGTTTACAAAGCATTTTAATTTATTCCTGCTTTTATTTACTTTTACCAATTAACTAACTGTATTAGTGTGCTTGGGCTGCCATAACCAAATACCACAGACTGGGCAACTTAACAGAAATTTTTTTTCTCACAGTTATGGAGGCTAAAAATTCAAGATTAAGGTGTCAGCAGACTTGGTTTCTTGTAGGTTTCCACTCTCTTGCTGTCCTCACAGGGCCTTTCCTTTGTGCATCTGCACTTCTGGTGTCTCTTCGTCTCTTTTAGTTTTAGATTTAGGCAGTGCCTTACTTCGCCACCCAGGTGAGAATACAGTGGCATTATTATACCTCACTGTAACCTCAGACTCCTGGGCTCAAGCCATCCTCCAGCCTCATTTGTCTGTCTTCCTCTTCTTAAAAGAATGATGGTTCTCGCTCCTAGTACTTTGGGAGGCAGAGGTGGGCAGATCACCAGGTCTGGAGTTCGAGACCAGCCTGGCCAACGTAGTGAAACCCCGTCTTTACTAAAACTACAAAAAATTAGTTGGGCATGGTGGTGGGCACCTGTAATGCTAACTATTCAGGAAGCTGAGACAGGAGAATTGCTTGAACCTGAGGGGGCAGAGGTTGCAGTGAGCCAAGATCATGTGTTGTACTCTAGACCAGGCAACAGTGCAAGACTCAGTCTAAAAAAAAAAAAATGACAGTTCTCTTGGCTTAAGGCCCCACCTTTATAACTGCATTTACTCATAATTACCTCCTTAAAGGCCCCGTCTCCAAATACAGTCATATTGAGAGGGCCTCAACATAGGAATTTTAGGGTAGAACACAAGTCATTCCGTTACACTGACCATTGCCAATATCCATCACATCGAATAAGAGGCGTCTGTTGTATGTTAGAGGATGCTTTTTTTCCTCTTCTAGTCACTTATTCTCATATAAACATTTGTCTTTTAGTATTTTAAATGAAGTTAGGCATTTTGATAATTCAGATGGTAATGTTACAGCTCTTAGAAATAATAGCATTTAATGGAATCATTTGAGTTAGTAATATAATAGTAACTAACATTTATGTGCCAGGCACATGAGTAATATATGTAAAAAACAGTAATTACCTGTAGATTTTGCAGTTTTAAGTCATGATATTAGAAAGTAAAGTAAATGACATTAATATTCTTCATTGTGTGGCATACATAAATAGTATTCCAAAGAATTAGGAGAAGGAAGATGTGGAGACTCTTGAATAATTCATGCAGCCACATAATAAATCAGCCATTCTATTTTAATTGACAAATTAAAGATTAAGATCCATGGTGAACTAATTTTTATACTTGCGTTCTGCTGAGTTTTATTTGTTTAAGAAAGTCTGGTATTTTTTCCCAGACTTATAGTATTTCTTTAAGCAAATTTTTTGAGACTCAAAGAAAAATGGGCTTTTGAGAATTTTTGTCTTATATTAAAATGATAAGTGAGGGTACTTACCCTTGGTATTTTTAAACCTGTAAAGGCAATGCTCAATTTTTGGGGGTTTTATTTTTGTCCATTTACTATGTTCTTTTCAAATTGATTTAAAAAAACAAGGAAAAGCCTTGTAATTTTTTGAAATGGTCTTCCCTATGTAAGATTGAATTTAACTAGTGAGTTTTTATTAGTATGATGTTTGCTATGACCGAAAATACTTTGTCATGTTAAATTAATCATGTTTGGTTTTTAATTAATTACTTCATTTCTACCTTTTGTTTGTGTGGAGAGGAGTGTATATAATTGCAGCAGGATCTCAATCCTTTATAATGCAAGTGATGACATAAAATTGTCAAACAGTTCTCACACACGTCTAACAAATTATTCCTGGGCTTGTTCAGCATTGTGGATTTTGGCAACAGAAGACTATCAGTTTTAGATTTTTACACTTTTGTATACTGTGTCTCTTCATTTTAGATTTGTCGCTTCTTAGGTTTAACTTCAGTATAACTTTTGGCCCACTTGGTATGTTGTTATATTCTCCTTTTCCCTCTTTTAAAAATGTAGATGTAAGTTGCAACAAAAATTGTCTAAGGAATATTGATATTTTATAAAATGTTGAATCCTTAGACTATTGGCCATAGTTTTTAGACTTGCTTATGGCACATAAGTAGTAAAGAAGAAAATTCTTGACCACTGTATTAAAATTTTGAAGTTGCCTGAGAAGAAGGGCCAGGTTTTTTTCATTATTCTTTGTTGATATATTCTGAAAGTCAAGTGAATTATAACACTTTCATAATGCATTATTGTTTACAAAGCTTTCCTATCCATTTGACTTTATTAATTTCCCCATTTAGAAATGAAGAGTTGCCTGGGACTATCCCAGTTTGCTTAAATAGTAAGTGGCAGAGTTGAGACCAAAACTCCTCTTTGTGCTTGAAGTTCTGTGTCCTTTTTTCTACATCTTGTTGACTTTCTACTGAAACATATTTCTACCTTTAGAATATGCCAAGATTAAAAAGTAAATATTCTTGAGTGACATATTACTAGTTTTTTTTTTTTTTTTTTTTTTTTTTTACAGATAGTCTTTCCTTGTCCGCTGTTTAGCTAGTGTTACTTTTGGGGCCATGGTGGAGTGTGGTTTGTTTTACTGGAACTCATTGTCCCTCTTAACACAACATGTAGTTGATGCTGCTATATGTGGTTGTAGTCACAGTGGTTACTTCTATAAAACATTTTTCTTATAAGAAACATATAGGATAAACATGCTGATTTCCAGAGTTGTCCACAAAAGATTGAGGTATAATAGTTATGTTTTCAATGAAAGTCACTTAACACAATACTCTCAACCTTTTCCATAGAATCTACTTCAACAGATGAAA